CGGTTTTATTGGAATTTCGTCAATGTTCTGGCCACATATTAGTGCTTCTTTTTCCTCGGCTGTGAGGGGCAGGTAATTGTCGAAACTTTCAAACAATGGCACATAAAAGACCGACCGTCGGCGCGTTTGTTCGTCGTCGGTGGAGGCGGGTGCGTTGGGGGTCAGAGCGCCCGACATGGTGGCCATCGCGACGGCGGATATACGGCACTTTACGGTAGCCTGGCCACCAAGGAGACGTCACACTTCATAGTCACAGGATTTTGTTTCACTTGAAATTATTTCCTGATGAATAGTCCTTCATGTTGTTTTTGTACTTGTAATGACTTTCACAAAGCACAAATTGATTTTACCACTTTCTAAAAGTTGATTGAAGTATAAGCTTATTTTTATAACAATATTTATTCACTACAACTTAGTCATATAATAGATTAAAATAGTTACTTTTGTACAATTCAATAAATACATTAATAAAAACAGTGTAATTCACTTAATCAATTTTCCGTGACTGTGACTAGTGCTTCTAATTTTTTTATTTTACTTTAACTATTGAGCCGTAAAAGTTGATTTACAGGCTAGCAAGGTGCCAGCGTGGTAAATCATGGGAACACTGGCAAGGTGTATCGATCGCTTGAAACAAGTATAATTTAGTTTTATCGAAGGTACGATAAGATTATGCGCGAACAATAACCAATCACATATTCGTATCCAATCATAAAATGAGGCCATGTCATTAGCCTATATGAAATGTAAATTGTGAAAGACGCCCAATTGTAAAAAGAGACTAGGAGAAAATACATCAAAGAATAGTTATTATATTTTGCACATGTGTTCGCGGTCGTTTGCTTGCAAATATATTTATACGCACTGTAACCCGTCAACAAATAGGTGACTGACTTAATAAGAACCTATTCACTCGACGAGAACGCCAACACGATCATTAGTACCAAAACGTTAACATATTCCGTGAAAGATAAACATAGGACACGTTGGCTGTTTTAAAATATTACACGTATGAAGTAACCCTTAATACTAAGAGCTCGTTTTAATTAAATTAACACTCGTGTAAATTAATTAGTTACTACTGGGTAGAAATCGCATTCAAGGTTGGAGGTGTTATCACTATTTAGTGCCATACGTAAAACCATGCTATTTTTAATTGTAATAGTGCTTTATGTTATGAACTAGACGTTATAATGTAATTGAAATGAACATCATTGTCACGAAAGGACATTTACTTAATGAAATTAATTGTAACTTAATTTATTTATTAATGAAATGTAAATTCAATATTATTTTAAATTTACGTTAGGATACATACAATCGATACGGCTAGCACACAAATACTAAACAGAAAGGTTTTATCAAACGAACTAAAAGGCAAGACATAAAATAGCCTATGATATTATTAAATTCGTTGGTTCAGAAATATTTCTTCGTTTACGTGTATAGCATTGCATACCAATAACCGGAGCAAAGAATGCAAGAACAAATAAAACTATAATACCTTCAAAGGAGGTTTTAGTTAAGTCACATACAAAGAGGCATAAAGCACCGGATATCACAAGACGGGCCAGGAGGAATAAGATCTTACGTTTATTACGACTCGCAGGGCGGAACGTGGACAAAGCTTGCGGAACGAGAACGACCCAGCATGCGCTGCTCACTCGAGCCGGTTTTATGCGTAAGGTACACGAGATGAATCGTTAAGATATTGCCCGATTTATCTACGCGACTACTACCAAGTACTTTCTTTTTAACACAGAACTAAAAGATCTCAGTCGCACTGTAAACATAGTTCTCTCACAGTAAGCTACAATTATTAAACGTAAACGTTGTTAAAAAACATATGAATCATGTGTAACCAAAGTGTAATTTTTATGATAAAGTGTGAATCGAAAAGATATGAGGACGGCCTTGTGCGTGACTTTGGTGTCTGAATGAAATTATCGTGGTCATGGATTTTTTCGCGGAAGTAGATAAAAGGTACTTTTATTATTCTTATCAGATACTGATAAAAGAGACGTCTTGATCCCGCACTTTACTCGTACTCAATCTTAACATTATTACCGCAAAATTCCTACTACAAAAAAAATATACATACGAGTACCTCCTTCTTTTGAGAAGTCGGTCAAAATCCTACGTGTAATGTCATAAGACTGACTTGTTCTACAATTATATTCATTGCACTACCGCCATGAATTTGTAACTATAGGTATATGATTTATTTTAACGCTTTTGTCGTCACATCACTTCCAACTAGTAACAAAGGTAGGCAGTAAGTCATAAGCAAGTTTTTAGAGCAGAAATCACAATATGAGGAATGGAAACTCGATCCGCGGTGCAGTGGCGGCTGGCGGCTAGGGGCCGGCGTGACTAACTCCAGCACAATCGTGATTCAAGGCAGCGCCTGCGCAAGTTCATAGACTACGTTATCTATGTTTACCATTTTCCTAGGACATTTGCTCTCATTTTCACCGACTTATAAATCTTTTAAATTTTAAAACATTATTGAACAGGTCAACTAGTTTGAGTTGAAGAACGTAATAAACTTCGACGTCTTTACTCATCGAGTAAAATCAGGGTGTATAAAACGATAATTCCGACAAAGTTAATAATGAGTTTTCTATTACAATTCACATTATTATTTAAATGTTACTTTAAAACGATCAGAATATCCTTTATTTTCTTTTCGTTACCGTGGTTACTCTGTTGCGACTCAGCGACTATGCACGACTTTAACACATTCAAAACATTTTAGTAGCTTTATTTGTTTTAAATGAAGTTTAATGATTTGACGAAACTTTAAGGTTTATTTGTTTACAAAGGATTTTATGATATAACTTATTTACGTAAATAACTCAACGGTCGGACTATATCAACAAACATAATAGATATGAAATTATAAACGCAAAAGTTATATTGCTTTGAAAGTATTGACTTGAACTACGGTCCTTCAACTCGAAACATTTAGCTCGAACTAGTTGAAGTACCAACGTATAAATGTTAGCCGTTATACGCAGTAAATAAGCGTGTTTGATTTAAAAATATTTTCCAGAACAAAATGTAACCGCGATAAATCATAGTTCAACAAAGCCTTTACAATGACAAAGTGTTTACCTTTCACTTAAAGTATTCCTACAAGGCTATCATTACGTTTAAGCAAGTGGGACAAACGGTTTATGTAATAATTTTTATTTGAATTAAGAACAGCAAATTAAAAAAATATATATTCATGGTGAAGTGAATTAGCGGCCAGACCTTTTCATAGTTTTAAATGTCCACAGTTTAAATAAATTACACTTGACGATTAATCAGATTAAAATACACTCATCAAACTAAGCTATGTGAAATTATAAAAACACTCAAAGAAGTATGATTTATAAGTACAAGTAATATCAGATATTAAACTTCCGATGTCTACTAGGAACCTTTTGCAATTACCAATTAACAATTGTTCAAACAATGCGCAATCAATGACATGTTTCTGAACAAAAACGGAGGAGATAATTTATATGTGTGTTGTATATACTTGTCTATAAATGCGTATGTGTGTGTCAAACAGGAACAAAACGACTCGATATGGCAGCGTGAACATATTTTTCACACGCAGTTCCTGCGAATTATCCAAAGAGGAATTATCCAAGCAATTTGCTCGTCGCTTTAGGAATGGAATGTTAAATACTTTACAACACGTTGCGTTTTTATTTACACTAGTCACAACATTGTATGATGTACAGAGATTTATTTTACGATTCGCGCTTGAAACATGAAACGAGACATTTTGCATACAAAAAAATAAACAGTGAATTTATTAAGTAATTTGTAAATCAAATGTTAATAACCATCTAAAAGGACATTCAAAAAGGAACGATACATTTCTCACTAATATAGTATTGAGATATTTACAGATTGATAATTCGTCGGTATTTATTTAGTCGTATCACTGGAGACGTTCCCAACTTCAACATTAGATTAAGAAGACGTATACGATCCTATGTAGCTTATACAGTTTCTCTCAAGGCTTTCGCACAATAATTCTTATCACGTAAACAAATGCAAGACTTGGAATGATATCGTTGGCGTTCGACCAAACTTGCACTGCAGTTGCGCTATCAAAGTATTATTTGAACCTAAAACATGTCCCATCTTAGACTTGTCGGCGTTATAACAAGACATAATATATTATGAAGTAATGTTTATACCTTAGAGTCTTGTTACATACTTTAAAATAATCACGTAATATATCTCAAGCATCGAAGCTGTTAATACCGGATGTAGGTACTATCTCTCAAAGCGTAAGAGCAAGATTCTTCGTGTCCGATACAGGTTTATGGACAACCCGCTCAACTACAAAAACTTGCCGATACTCCGAGGACCGTGTGTAAAAAATAAAATTTTAACTTACATTTAATATCAAACACAAAGGTTTAAAGAACAAATGACAATCAATACTTTAACATACTTATTTATTTCTATATGTCGCTAAGAGAAAACCTTTACGTGAATTATAATCCAAATCTATAACGACGACACATTGTTTTCGTAAAAGGATATTGGAAAAGTTTCGTTTTATTGGAAGTTAGTTAATAATTATGTTGATGAAGAGTTTAAGTTATGCTTAAATAATTATTATTAAAGTTATAACATTTGATTTGAACAGATTGGTAACACGGTTCCAAAATAATAAATACATTAACTATTGTATTGCGTCATTAGACATTGTTCCGGTGAAAGGGATTAATTGCGACACTAAGCATCAACTCGTGTTGTGTTGAGTGTCGTGCGGCGGGACATACAAACGAAACGTTACACACAAGAAATGTTTACTTGCATTTTCGTAACACAATAAACATACAAAGAAAGCTTTTAGAATGTCTTCGAGAATTGAAAAACTAAAACAAGAAAACACGCCAAATAAATTATCTCCAAAGTAAATAAGCACGGTCATTAAGGTTCTATCTACTAGAATATCCAATAAGATTTAAAATTTCAAATAGTTTGTTTCGGTTTGAAAAAAAATCACTAACGTTGATTTTAACTTTTTTACTCGTTAAATGCATTTAAAAAGTAAACTTGGTTAAAAAACTGAAAGTAAATGTGAGTATATAAAATCAGGTCAACAAGTATTAAACATTAAAAAAGCTTTCTCGCTTCATCCGAGTTTAATAATTTCATCAGTAGCTATTTTGAAAGGGATTATAATCAAATTATCACGAATTATTAACGTTCGAAGTCGCTAAACAAATTTAATTATTGCACGTTATACTGACCTACGATATTTCTGCATATAAAAAGCGTTACTATACTATAGATAAGGAGCAAAATGTCTAATAGCCGGTTTCCTGGCTACATTTTA